TGCAAATTTTCCTGGTTCACCTGACCTCCTCATAATTTGCCATGATTAAATGACCAGCGTGAACTCCAACTCACCCACCCACCCAAAAAAAAAAACTGGAAACAATCAAAAACTTTCAGGGAGAAAAACCATGCAATCCTTTATTAAACGTTTTACCTAACTTTGCTTTTCCGTTTCAAATTTTGGTTTAATATCTTTGAAGTTTCCATATTTGTTGCAAGTGCCGCCAAACACAAGTCAAATATGCCTCAAATTTGAAAGTTTCATAGAGCTCTCGTGTAATTTCATTCCCTTGACATTCCGATTGATTTCTGAAGTTACATGAGCACAGGAGATTCAATTCAAAACTCACAATAAAGAGGTCTAGTAAATTACCACCTAATAGACAAGCAAACACGAAACAATTATCAGATTTTTCATACATCTGCGAATTGCGATACATGTGTGTATGCGTGTGCGCGAGCTTACTTACCAAACAACATCCAATTCAGGTAAAATTACATTCACACAATTCAGAATTTCAAAAAGCAGAGAGGGAAAGAGAGAAATACAAGAGCAACGGCGGAGACAATGCCGTAGAGGATAGCGAGGACGTGGAATATACGGTCTTGCCAAGCTCGAGATCTGTTCACCTCTTCCCACCAACTAATTGCCTCATTCTTCAGGTGGTACGCCGCCGCCGCCGCCGACGGGCCTACCACCATCTCAGCCCGTCCCATCGCCGGAGATTCCAAAATTCAAATCAAATCAGACTCCTGTTTGTTTTCTTTTTGGTACCCGAATTATTTTTTTCGTTTCCTTTTTTGCTTAAATCTTGTGTTCCTCTTTCTTTTCTTTTTTTCTTTTTTTTTTTAACGGCCGGCTAGGAAGGAGAGGTATAAATGTGCTTTACAGCCACGTATTCTTATCCTTGTCGGATTCCAAATACAATCATGTCGTGTGATGGTGTTATTCAGGGGTAATATTGTCATATATTTACAAATCCTTAATGCATTAAGAAACTGATTGGACGAGTAACCGTCATAGCCGGTGATTCTTTCCCGCTTGTTTTGGACAAATTACACGTGGGGTGACGATGGAGATGGGTGTACTTTTCGTTTCGTATCTGCATTCAGTTTACCTCATTACATGTTCTTATCGCAAACGATTTAGGAATTGTTATACAATTTTCCTGGTGGCTATAAACTAATAAAATTATTTTTGAATTTAAGTAAGTTTTTCAGGAAAAACAACTTAAAAAGACAAAGTTAGTTAAATTTTAAAATAATCCACAAAAAATATCACGTGACAACGTTTCGTCGAAAAATTTAATTAGATACAAATATAAATAATATGCAAAAAAAAGTAATTGACGTATAGATAACTAGATGTGAAAAGCCCCACCAACAAGATATGATTGTTCTTTGCATTTGTATTGTTACGTTAGTTTTGGTGGCAGAGCATCTAAATCATTTACATGCTGACTTGCTTGAATTTCAAGCCTCTAAAGTAAAAGTTAGAATTCTAGTAGCATTGAGCCAAGGCNTTTTGGTCAACATAAGTGAAGGCAAAGTTCTCTTTAATTCGTCAATATTTTTGAGCAATTTCTCATTCTCAATATTGCCACTTGTTATTTCAACGTCTAAAGTTGCGATTCACATCAAACTCTAATTCAGAACAACCAAAGGGTTTGAAATGAAACACCCATTGTTGTATCTTTTACCAAGCATACACAATTTAAAGTTCTTCCAGAGTTGTTGATAAATAGAGCAATGATATTTCAAGCTATTTACACTTAAAACAGCAGCCCAGACGAAAAAGATAGAAGATGCTATAAGAGCTATTGACATTATTATATCACTAATGAAGAATACAACAAAAATAAAGCAGAAATGATACCAAGATATATAGAAGATAGAAACGTAATTAACAGGAAGAGAGTTAGTAGATGATCAAGAAGCTCTTCCACAAAAGCTGTTGTTGAACTTTCCAAAGCTTTGTTTTTCTTGTTTAAGCTATGAACTTCATTCTGTAATACATCCTTGTCTGTGGGAAAAGTGCATATGTCATCATTATTTTTCACAGAAACTTCATTTTGAAAAGGCACACGCGACGGCATGAATTCATATATGCAAAAGTCAGTGCCAAAGTTTACTAACAGTTGTCTTGAGATATGGAATTTGCTAACAGAAAGATGGTGTCCTATATTAGAGATACAAAACTCTTCGTTTGCATTTTCACACATAAAAGTGTCACATAGTTTAAGAATAACACCTTTTGTTATTTATGTTTATAAGTATCTCGTCGCGCCTCCTTCGTAGACAACAAATCTTTTCATCCAAATGTTTGAGAGAGGTCTCTGAATCAGCTAAAAACAAAGTCACGAACTGAGAGGAAATAATAAAAGCGGTGAGAATAAAAGTTAATCACCAGTTCACCACTACTTAAACAGCCTAGAAAAAGTTTTCTGTATGTGTTTCATGTGTTTGTTTTTATCCAAAACAAATGATATTATTGGAAGTTCTAAATTTAGTTTTAAGCTCATATTTAGGGTAGTAAATTAGAGGATCGTAATATATATATAAGAATCTGAAAGCAAGTAATTTGACAGCTGAACACAAAAAATGAATTACCAAAAAAAAGAAGAAACAAACACATCCAAGATCAAAATAAGCTTGCCTAGAATGTCTGAGTTCAATAATAATATCCTGATTGATCTGCAGAAGGTAGAAAACAGAGTTAAAAGGAGGATCCATGAAAATATTCATGATGACTTTTATATTGTTGAAGCATAATCAAGTGAAACTTTCCAAAAATATTAGTAGATGAATAACATAACTGATGTACATACACGTATTGGTAATGACTGAAGGAGCATACCAATTTACATTTGATAACTTAAGTGAACTTAGTAAAACCATATCTCAAGAAGGTTGCCCAAGATTAAGTAAGTACATGCCATTTCCATTAAAATTTCAGATGTAAGCCATTTCTTAAAAAAAAAGCATGGAATTGTATCTTGTAAATAACTCGTAGTATAGAGAGCATATACGAACAGGAAAACTCCATCAAGATGATAACACTATCGATGAATACGTTAGCCAACTTATTCAATCAGAAGACCTTTTTTTTTTAAAAAATCAAGTTACAATCAGAGGACTCTTAGTGTCCTCTTAGTTTACTGGAAGATTATACTTCTAACTCCTTCGCTCACTTTTCTTTCTTACCTGCACAAGACCTTTCAGTTGGCTAGTTTGTATCTTTGTGTTAAAGGAAAGCTTTACTGATCGATCTTTTTCAATGCAGTCAAATTCGTCCATAACTTGCACTAATCATGCGAATTATGCAGAACATTTATTTGCTAAATGAAAATGTCAAGATCACTTAACAATTGTCATCTAATATTTTTCTACAATACAAATGGAAAGAAGGCAGGTAGAAATAACATCTTCAGTATCTTATGTCATAGTTTAATTTCTAGCAAGTCGGAACACTATCTGAAAATAAAAGCACCAACTAAGTTTATTTCTGGCCATTAAGAAACCATTGAGCTTGGAAAGTAGGTAAAGAACACCATTCGATATTTCAAATTCTACAGAGTTAATTTTATACTTCGAAATTTGCTCTCCAACAATATTTTTTGCAGTCTTGTAAGTAGCTTGTTTATACAAAATAGTATTGCACAAGTAGTTACCTATTCAAGATACTTTTAAGAAATGAAGAGTACGTTGTCCAAATAAGGACACGTGCTCAAGCGATGTATTGAGCCAGTCCAACGTCAGCAACACATAGAGAAAATAATTATATATACACATAACTAAGCAACTTTAAAAATGCAGGTTAATCATGTAACTGAATACGTACACGGTCAATATTCGGACAATAAATCCAAACAAAAAATTTCAGGAAGTAATTGTTGCAAGCTTTGAGAATCTTGCTCGATCAATGGACGAATAAGATTGTGCAAATAGTATAAAATAAAATCTATTAGTTGTTTTCAAAGGTCTTGTTTGTGTAAAATAGAAATGTAATCTCTTTCGGAGATAAAGGTGTAGAAGTGACTTTTTCATTGCAAGTGTAGTTATAGCAATAACTCTAATTCTTGCTCTAAAAGCAGAAATATCAGTACCTCCAAGTGTTGAAGAAGACATTTTTATCAAACTTCTTGTTGTTACTAAGAAGTATGAACCTTCAATATTTCTTCCCTTCCTCTTATATCAGACAGTCCAAGTGTTACCTAGTGTATTACAAAACAAATGTAATACCAATCAGTGAAATATATCCAGGAAACTGTGATCATTTTACTTAAAAAAAAGGTTTTGAAATTTTAAAATCAAAAACTCATTTCTTTACTTGCCTATCAAATCTTCCAGGTCTAAGCAAAGTTTGATCAAGAATTTCAGACCTACTAGTAGGAGCAATCACAACGACTCTAGTATTTCCAGTGAAACTATCCATTTCAGTGACAACTTTATTAAGTGTATGCTCTCACCAGTTACTTCATCAATAACAGTTCCTCTCTGCCTCCCAATTCCATCAATCTCATTAATAAATATTTAAAAATGTGAATTCTTTTGCCTTGTTCAATAAATCCATTGCTTTAGATGTAACAAAATAAAATTTATAACATGAAGGGTGTACATTGGCGTGCTCTCTTAAACTTAAAAGTTAGCATGTATGGATATGGATATGCAGTTCTCATCAACTCCAATTGTCGAGTAGTCAAAGCACTTTCAACTTCCATACACTTCATTATTTGCGATTCAATCTCTCTCATTGTAAGGTACTTAGTTTAAACATTGCCATTCACCTAAGCCATACAAACACACAGAGACATACACACATATACATGTATATATACACATACGCATATGAAAAACACAGTGAATGAGATAAAACTGCGTGGAAACACCTAATAAAGCATATCCTTGAGCAAAACTGACACAGAAGTGCAGCTGAGTGTTCCATTGCTTCAGTTTTCGTTCCTTCCTTTGTGTTTAAGAGATGACACGGGAGAATCTTTAAGCTACAGGGTTCACGATTTTTGGAGATTCAAAATCTTCATTTACAACTAATGCACAAGAAAGGCCAATTTGCACACACGTACTATCTGTTGGTACTGATCCTGCATATTTAGAAATTTTTCCTGTATAGTATTTGACTTCAAGTATGCGAAAGAGATCAATTGCACCTATTTAGGAAGCTCGTTAATGGAAATTCAGTTTTAGTAATCAATAAATATCAAAGTTGCAAGTGAAGATACACGCATAAGTATAGAATATTCAGCAAAAGTCTACTCTTGTAAAGAGCTAACCATATCAGCAAAACTGAAAAATCTGTGAGCTACAAACCTAGAGCAGTACTACTAAGCCCCAGATAACATCTGAAGATATAGTAAAGGAAGAAAAATTCAGTGTTGAAACAAGACACTGCCTAAGAAAGCAGAAGAATAGAGTTTCAATAAAGAAGGATCATGTTTTCTGCTCTACTTTATTAACCAACACTTGTTATTCATATTTTCGAAATCTACGCTACTGTAGAGTTAGTTAGCTATTTCATATTTGATGCAAATGATTTAGATCATGTAGTTATATGAATTAGGAATGGGTGTCCCAAGAAATCCTAAATGCCTCTTTCTGATATAAATACCCAAAAAATTTCAAAACAAGAAGACCTAAGAAGCTAAGTAGACCTTAACATGATGTGAATAGCAAGTATTAACTACATATCCTGAGTATAGAGAACGCCCACTGCATCTCTTGTTGTATGTAATAATGAGAGAAGATATTATTTTTAGGTGGTCTACAGTAACAACAATTGTTAAATTCATCCATTCAACAAGAAAATTACTTACCGGATAGCCAGTGCTGTGCCAAAATTGTGTCATACCTTGGCTTATAATAGTACAACGGTCAGTTTATAAGATAGCAGCTGCCTGAATGATTTCTTCGTATACTATATTGTGTGTTGTATGATCATCATTGCTATCAAATGTTGGCGGTCGGATCAACAATTTCATAGAATTCGAGTTTTTTGCTCCGGATAAAGCAACATAAAGTTGACCGTAGAAAAAATATGCTCTCGTAAATAAATTCCAACAAAATCTAACGTCTGACCTTGTGCTTTATTTATAGTCATAGCAAAACATAATCTAATAGGAAATTGTGTTCTTTTAAAAGGAATAGGTATTTTTTCATCTTGTGAAGATAACAACGGTATTCTCGGAATAAATACATGTGTGTTTTTTAAATCCCCGCTTGCAATTTTAGCACTTATAATATTCCTTTCAAAATTACAACATACAAGTCGTGTACCATTACATAAGCCTTCGCACAGATTTAAATTTTGCAATAACATAACAAGACAATTTTTTTTTCAAAGTTAATTTATACGGAGGTAAACCAGCAGGGTGTAAGCTATACAAAAAATCTTCATATTGACTTTGATCATTTGTTTCAGTAGTTTCATCAAATGCAACATATGTCCTAGAATCATCCAATAATTGAGTTATGAGCATATCATTTATTTCATCAACAAAGTCATTTTTTGTTGTCAGAATAACACGAGAAGATGTAGAAGACATATTACAAGGAGATGCATAAAAATCTGGATAAGTTACTCAAAATAAAAGATTCAACGATTCTTTTTCACTAATAAAAGGAACAATGAAACAATTAGGGATTTCAATCTTACCTTGCCAATTTGTTTTTTCTTTTCCGCTCTCTATTTTCATCAAATATTCAAAAAAAGCAGGATCTGTTCTCGCTCGCATATTTACTGATAATCGTAATTTTTCGAGTTGATTCCAAATGCCAGAACATAGCAAGCTTTCTTGTATGAAGTCCTCTTTTTTTCCACTACGAACAACTGGAAGAGTTTGCCTGAAATCACCACCAAAAATAATAACTTTCCCACCAAATAGTATCTTTGTATCCATTAGATCTTTCAATAGTAAATCAAAAGCCTCTATCAATTCTTTTTTGGTCATTGATACTTTATCTCATACGATTAATTTGGCATCTTGTATCAGTAATGCAAGCGAACTTTGTTTACTAATATTACATGAGAATTGTCCATCAATATCAATAGGAATTTTAAAACGGGAGTGAGCAGTTCGTCCTCCGGGAAGAATTGAAGCTGCAATACTAGAGGTTGTTGTTGCTAAAGCTACAAATCCTTTTGATCGTATAGCAACAAGTAATGCATGATACAAAAAAGTTTTTCCTGTTCCTCCAGGACCATCTATAAAAAAAGCTCCAGGTTTATTTTTAAATATTCTATCAAGAATTATATTATATGTTTCTCATTGTTCATTGTTCAATTTTGCTTCCAATAACAAATCTTCTTCTCTAACAATTGTATTTCTTTCAAAATGAGAATCTTGAGCCTCTTTAGCAGCTGATGAAGCTGAAATTCTTTCAGGTACAAGTGTAAATTCATTTATGTCATGACCCATTGAATGCAAAATATCATTAATATGGTTTAAAGTCATATGACGAATCTGTTTCTTGTTCAAATTTGGCATAATCTTAAAGTCTTCAGACATAGAATCTTCAAATTTGTCCCAAAGTTCTTTCGGATTAGTAGGATTACAATAGACCAACAACGTAGCAAATAAACGTCTTAAACTATAAGGCATCTGATATCTTACAGCTTCTGACATATAGTCAACCAAATTATTGTCGCATTGTAGTTGTGAGCACGTGATTTTTGCCTTACGAAAAACTACTCCAAAATAAATCAAAAAATAAAAT